TGTAGCCCCAATACTGAAGAAACTTTTGTACATTTAAACCTATTAAAAATTATGAAGTTCATCACTCTGTTTTTTTTCAAAAACTGTAAAACTTCTTAAACCTATCTTCTCCCACAATTTTTGCTCAATTGACACCAAACTTGTGACAGAGCATCTTCAGACTGTCCTACAAAAACTGCGTTTCTCAGATTTTTGATTTATCAAAAATTGAGCCTACAGTGCATCAAAATGTTTGACTGTAAATGGTACTGTAAACATATACATTCAAATTCTTGCTAAATAAATCTTCAGTGTTCATGAAAAAAAGACAAAATTCTAGAGTCATGGTAGATGATGTGTGGCAAATTTCAGAATTTTATCTCAAAAACTGAATTTTTGACAGCATTTTGAATTTTGCTCTAATGTGAACAATTGGAGTCAATGTAAAAATGGCAATTTTAAACATCAGTTTTTCACTTATGGAGCAAATCAATCATTGTTACAAACAAATGACCAACATCTCCATGCTGTCTAGATGCAATATGTGTATTTTCAGATTTTTGTTTCGATAACTGAATTTTTTTACAGTGGTTTGAAATCTGCTTTTCCATGCATGGACGGCTGCTAAACCTGCACGTCTGGTTTAGTCAATTTGTGAAGCTACATATGAATTGTCACTGACTAATTAGCTCAGTGAGATAGAAATTGATTCTTAGTCTCAGAGGTTGTGAGTTCAAGCCTCAGCTGATGCAAAAGGCAGATTGTGTTGCTAAATGTCTTCCAGTTCTTCTGCTTGTTGCTCAGAATTGCCTAAAAATGCCCGGACCCGACCCATCGCTGCACAGCAGCTATAATTATGATTACATTTTGAAATCATGTTACGAATAATTATAATTTTCAAGCACTTTTACCATGTCATTTCCTTGTTTGTTTGTTTTTAACTTTTTTTTCTTACTAATTTTCTTGTTTTTAATTTTCTCTTGTTACTAATTTCTTGCTGATTTTTTGGGTCATGTCCTCTTTCATTGCTCATTGCCTCTTCCAATGTTTTTTTTTTTTAAAGAAATCAAGCCAATTTGCCCAGGCTTCAGACGGTTTAAGAAGTCTGGGTGAAAAAATGGTTGGGGAGACGCTGTGAACATTGGTTGTCTATGTTTCAGTGACAACTGGAGGTAAGATTTTAACTGTCAGTTTTAAAGATCTGTCAACAGTAGTGTGCTAGCAACACTGTCAGCTGCTCCGTACTGATGTAATCATAACCGTTATCATCCTAAATATCATATATGTTTGAAATTACCAAGGCAACCCCAATTAGTCTGCAAGCAGCTTTGCATGCTTAAGATTAGATCTGTAAACCTCTAACATTTCCAGATAATTAGGGCCGAACATCGTACCATCCAAGGTCCCAGATCAGATTGTCATTTGTTTTAAGGTAAATGCTCGCACATCCAACTGTTTTAGATGCAGATGCATTGGAAAATATCACTTGAGTCTTTCAACAGAGGAAGCGAAACGTTAGTGTAACTAATAAATTGTGAAGCTGAGCATACATATTACCCAGCAATCATCAGTGCAAATCTGTGTATCACATTAATACCAAATAAATTAAGAAATAATTCATTAAATTAAATATTTTTTATAGTTTATTTGTAGTTTTAAAGTTTATGTAAAGTAAACAAAAATAGGTATAAAATAGTAAATAAAATAAATCATTTTATTGTAGAATTGATTGCTACTGACTCTTTTACAAAATAAAAAGAAGAAAGAAACCATGATGGAGATTGGTTTGCATAAATAGCAGTTGGCCCAACATTTTTAATTTTACATGACTCCTTCAAGAGCCTGTTCTCTGGCCAACACACTGATGGGAGGTCTACTCTCTCTACGGGCCTTGCAGTGTCCTTATCTGAGCCCCTGGTTGTGTAATATATATCAAAACTTTAAAATATGGATTAAAATAAAAAGACCTGAGCAGAAGAGAAGACAAAGAAGAGATCCATGTGACATGCATGTGTGTCCTGCGTGAATGCTTCTGTGCCTCCTGCTCAGCTTGGCCAGCTTTACTTTGGCAACTGCCCTGAAGGCCAAATAGCCTCAAGGACTAATGTCCCCTCTGCCATCCAAAACAAGCAGCGTCTGATTCACTGATGTCAGCTGACCCTGAACTTTCTAAGTTTAGCTACTACCACCACTATATGCCACCATGACACCATTCACAGGGCTCCACCCCCTCAAACACACGCAGATACAGATAAGAGATTATCTTATCTCACAATTAATATTGAACCAAAACCATGCATTACAAACACACACACACACACACACACACACACACACACACACAGATCCAGGTGTGCAAATAAACAGGGTTTGATGATTTCAAAAGAAAAGATTAATTGTGTGCAGGAATTAATTTCACTCTCTTTCTTTATGGGGCTGATTACTGCTGGTCTCTTGAGTAACGAAGCAGCAGAAATAACAGTTGAAGGTGGGTGGAGGGAGGAGAGAGACAGAGAAAAGGACAGGAAGAGAGTTAGAGATAATGATAGAGAGTATTTGGCTCTTCTTGGGTAAAAATAAATGAATAACCGTGATAGTAGGTCTTCAAAGGACACTGGCCAAAAGTTTACAGAACACAGTGTCCACTCTGTCCTCTGTTTGCCCTCGGGACTCAAGAGGTGGTACATGTGTGTGTTTTTTGTGAGCGCGTGCATCTGCGTCTGTGTATGTGTGTGCAGCCTTTGTGTAAACTGTGCGTGAGTATGCAGGAGCTGCGTGTGTGTATTTATATTCACGACGTGCTGGCAAGAGACAGATGATGCGAGCTCTTTGTAGAGTTTCCAAACAGTAGCCATAATTTTCTCGAACCTGTTGTAAGCCCTGGATTTATTGCATCACTTAGCAGCCTTAATGGCCTAATAAGCCACAAAGAAAGTCAATTTACCAGCAAGTATCAGCAAGTACAGTCTGTGTGGAGCCAAATGATTCGGCATAACTAGTGTCATCACAGTAGGTTAAAAACAGTGGCTCCCTATTCCCATACTAATAATGTACACTACGCTTCTTACTGTGAAGGGCTTGTGGATGAATGCAACATAAGCTGGCAGGCGTTGTGCGGTGGTATTTCTAATAACTTTAAGTGATAAGGCTTTTTGAGCTTTGTAATATCTTTGGGCTGAGGTGTAAAATGGCGAATCCGTCCCAGCCAAGATCTTCTGTCTCCATCATGTGGCTGTAGGAGGGTACTGCAATGCAGCTGTGACAGCTTCAGACACCCATCTGTCACTCTTCAGTTCAGTCTCTCTACAAATATATATTTATTTATTTACTTAATTAGGAAAAAAAGGCTTGTTACACAAGAAAATTGAGGTCTTAGTTGTTAAGGAAGCATCACTGAATCCTTTCTCTCACTATAGTAGTGGGAACACCATCATCAACAGATATACATGTGCCATTATGAAGGCTGCAATGGTTGTTTTAACTTTCCATTTAATCTGTCATAATTGTTTATTTTAGACAACAGAGGAAATGAGAGGTTCCCAGAGTCCAATGTGACATCTTAAACATGTTTGTTTTGTGCCCACAGCAGTCCAAAACCCAACTTTAATAAACAATTTACAGGGAAACAAAATAGAAAAAGGCACCAAACTGTCACATTTGAGAAGCTGAAACCAGTCAGGGTGCATACAGGTTCCAGACACTTACATTCATTGTTCCTTAAAGCGTATTCAAGTTCATGCCTGTGGATATTCTCATTTATCCAAGTCATAGTTATCTCAAGGCAACTGAATCGAACGCAACTGGACTTAGTTTTGTCTTAGAAGACGTTTCACCTCTTATCCAAGAGGCTTCATCAGTTCATGCTTGTCTAACTAGGTTGGAACTAGTCTGACAAACTGGTGTGGAAACCCAGGTATTTAAGGCCAATGATGTCATGGGTTCGTTAATGCTCCAATGGTGTGTCAACGACAGTCGTTGAAACTCCTGCTACGGTGGTCAATGGAGTCGTTAGAGTGGAGTGATATCTAGGCACTGGTGAGATGGAGGGACGTTTACCATAGTTCAGTTACACGCACTACCTACCAGGGTTGAGCCGAATATACGTTTTAGTCAATGTATATGGTGACTACGGCCCTGTCAGCATGCATAATTAGGCCTCAGTTGTCTGGGTGCGCAAAGGTGAAGTGCACTGGTCTTGTCATACAAAGTTTGATGTGTTTGAGTTTGAGTGTCAGCTGGACATATGGAGATATTTGCATCTTGAAAGCCGGACTACAAATGTGGATAGACAGGAAGAAACACACACAAGCCTAAGACGTGGTAAGATACGATATTCCTCACTATATGAAGTGACTGATAACAAGATCTGTATAATGGACTGTAAAGAAATTCGTCAGGTTTTTATTTTGTAGACAATCAATCTGTATTTATAGCATGATGGGATGACAGTACAATGATGTGTGTGGTATCACTGGAAAACTCTGCTCCTGCGCTTTCATGTGATATGCGTGGCATTTCTGTGCGAGCCTGCAGTCGCAAGTAATCCATCCAACAGTAATGTGTGTGCAAAGCTGTATGAAAGCTTTGTTATACTTAATTTTAGTGTAAATGTATCTTTTTTTTCACTGTGAAAACATTGGACTAGCGACAAGTGCTTGGTCTTGTTGGAAAGCTATGGTTCCGCTGTTTCACGTGATATGCGTGGCTTCTCACTATGATGGTTGCCGAGAAAATCCATAAAGAGGTGTGAATTTAGACACACTATGCGCCGTTCTGGCCCATAGGGTTAAAGTACACCTATGTGGGTGTGCAGAACCTTTAAGACAGTGACTGATAAACCTGTTACCATTGTTTCTGTAGTGCTATGTTTAATAAGAGCGTCTCTTATAACTGATGCAACCTTTAATAAAGAATCCACATGAATGAATGGTGAGGATTTGGATTTAGGCTATTTGTAGAGTTGTATCAGAGTTGTTAAAGTTTTATGTTTGGTACCAAATCAGCACACTGAGAGTACTCACCATCCAGAAGAGTGTTCCCGTGGCGAACTCTGCATATTGCTCTATAGTGGACAGGACACTGAAGATTAGACACACCAGGACCATGAGGAAGCTGCAGGGAGAGAAAACAGTTTTCCTGTTAGTTGTCACTGTCCAAGTAACAAAAATCTGACCTTCACTCGAGTATTTCCTTATAATTAGCTCCAATTTACCCTCATTACGTTAACAAAAAGAATCAATCACTTTACTTGTCCCCAAACAGCAATTGGTTACACATTAAATCAATTTAAAATAATGAATAAGAAGGGCTCAGTCTGCTTTTTCTTATGGAGTTTAACTGGAAGTTAGATGGAAGAGGGGCTCAAAGAGTATGCATGTGTTCATATTCATAACACTCTGTGGGTTTAACATTACCAGTGATTTTGCCGCAGATATGAACCACCCTATTGAGTACATTTGTACACTTTGAGAGATGAATGCTAACATACAACTGAAAGAAAGTATAAACACAACACTTTCGTTTTTGCTCCCATTTTTCAAGAGTTTAAATTAAAGATTTAAGACTTTTCCTGTGCACACCGAAGACTTATTTCTCACGTACTTCTCATTTGCCAAGATAATCCATCCACCTGACAGGTGTGGCATATCAAGATGCTGATTAAACAGCATCCCAGGTGTGTCTTGGGATGATCACAATAAAAGGCCACTCTAAAATGTTCAGTTTAATCACACAGCACAACGCCACAGATGTCACAAGTTTTGGGGGAGTGTGACATTGGTATACTGACTGCAGGAATGTCCATAAGCGCTGTTGCCTGTGAACTGAATGTTCGTTTCACTACAATGTTTGGCACTATCTGTAACCAAAAAATGCATTTCTGTGGCGCTAAAATGTCTTTAATCAAAATAAAACTGCATATTTTGGAGCAGCCTTTTATTGTGACCATCCCGAGGCACACCTGTGTAGTGATGATGCTGTTTAATGAGCATCCTGATATCCTGCACCTGTCAGGTGGATGCACAAGAACAGATTTTAATAAATTTGTGAACAAAATTAGAGGGAAATCAGCCTTTTGTGTGCATGGAAACAGTCTTAGATCTTTTATTTAAACTAATGAAGCTCAGCGTAAGTTCAATCAGGAAGACCTTTCTCGTGCTCACCCTTTCACATTTTCTCCATCCCACTCTCACTACTTCCTCTAATCAGCTGACTATGGGTGTTCACTCCTTTAGTTACCCAATCACATGATCTCTCAGCCAATCACGATGCCACTGCAACATTTTAGATCCTCTCTCTCTTCTGCTGCTGTCAGCCTTCATTTTAGGCAGAATCTTCGCGCCTTCCTCTACCCCGGTCACCTCCAGCCATCGTATCCAGAGTCTAGGACAAGCTCTCAAAGACTCATTCCTCTACTTCTCCAGATCATCGGCACTTCTCCATCTTCCTCTCATCTCATCGTCACCACCTCTACCACCACCAGGGGTTCCCTATTCTACTATGGATTCATCACCCTCCTTAAATCAAACCATCTCTACGGGGTCTAATCGCCAAAGACTTTCCACATTCTTATTCATTCGTTCACATGTTAATAAATATTCTTTAACCATAAAAACGTGTCTCTCCTGATTGCAATGGAAAATAGGAGGACAGCAAAACAAAGTGTTGTATTTATATTTTTGTTCGGTGTGTATCATTAAGCCAGTTGTCAAGGTGCTCTCTTTTTGTCATCAATCTGCTTGTATTAACAGCTGACAGTATGTTTCCACGTCTCCTAGCAACAGTAAAACATTCCGATGAGACTGTCCATCTGTTGGTGTATATTCATAGTCTATAAATACAGCCCTGTCAACTTAACATCCACTACCTGCACACCTAACGGAAGGTAGAGGAAGAAAAACTGGATTAAAGTGAGAGTGAAGTTGGGGAGAAAGGTAGGAGTGGCAACAGTTATTTTCATTATCAGTACATCTGCTGATTATTTATCAATTTATTCATTTATGTATTCATTTATAAAGGTGAAACACGCCCCTTATATCTTCCTAGAGCCCAATGTGACATATCAAATTAGCTTGACCAACAGTCCAAAGATGTTTAGTTTTATATCATTGTGAGAGCCACTTAGGCACAAAGTAATATGTGATTAAGTTAAACAGTTAAACAACAGTATATGGACAGGTTATGTGTATTTTAAGATTTATAAGTTAAAGGTTTGCAATTTTTGTGTTCTGATGCTAAATGCAGTAAAGTATATTGTTTTGTTGCTTTACGACAGTTAATTGGGCTTTAGGGCAACTTGCCATACGTGCGCAGTGAGGACAACCATGTGTGCAGCTAGGATGTAGAGGAATCTGCATAAGCGTGGATTGAAATAAGTTTTTGACCTTGCATAACGTGTGTAGTAGCGTGTACAGATAGCAGGTGACAACATGTACAGTTTTGGACTGCTTTATACTGGTATTGGACCAGGGTTTTTTTTTTTTTGTGCGTCTTCAAATAAAGCGACATCAACGTTTTCCCTGTCTCCTGTGGACTATTTGTGAGTAACACTGGGTTTCTCAAGAAGAGTGGATTAATTAATTGAACATGAGTCAGAACTAAAACAACTTACTGCAGATTAAGTGGCCTACAGTAGCAACTTGAACCTTAGTAAAAACGGCCACTACAATCATAGATGTGACAATGTTGGAGAAGCTAAAAACATGGTAATATGTTACCTTTTTTTTGATCAATAAAACAGTGCCTAAAATATTTGTCATTGAATTTTATGTAATCACTGGATTCATTAAGAATTAATTCTGATTAAAAGAAATCTCAAAAGTATTCATTTTTTTAAATCACGTGTTGAAAAACGCACGCTAAAGTGCCCTCTTTGGAGCTAAAAAACACACTAAACTGCCCTCTTGGCTGGTTAAAACATGATAAACTGCCCTCCTGGGAGCCAAAACGCACACTAAAGTGCCCTCCTGGTTGGCAAAACACACTAAACTGCCCTCTTGGCTGGTTAAAACACACTAAACTGCCCTCTTGGCTGGTTAAAACATGATAAACTGCCCTCTTGGGTGGTAAAAACATTACTGTTGCAATGACTTTTATGTTGGGCCCTTTTTTGATCTATATTGAGCCAGAACTATATCTCACAGAACCAGTTTGGATTATCTGGTGCTAATATGGTGTTAAAATGCACTACAATACAGGAAATGGCATCTACTTAATTGAAAATTTTCGGGGGGAGGACCCCCAGACCCCCCCAGGGATTTATTTCTTTCATGCATCCATGTCTCTGTGTGTTCTTCACAGTCCAATGTTGAATCTACACAGTTCTCATGGATGCTGATCCTAACTACAAACTAACTTGGGTAGTCTGTCTAGTTAGTCTGTTTTAAGGCTATATAATGTGCCATTTGTATAACATATAAACATGTCTAAAGTGCCCTCGAAAACACGCGGAACTTAGTGCCCTCTTCAGTGGCGAGAACGCACTGTATGTGCCCTTTTTTTTCTTTTCGCCCCTGCCCTTCAAAAAGTCTGCACACCACTGCATTTCAATGAGTCACGAAAACTTTCACGTGAGACATTTTCCATCTTAGTTAAAAACAACATTTTTTCTTAAACCACGGCACTGTTCATTTATTCATTCTAAATTTTAAAGAGGCTCATGAGGGGCTTTGCTCGGTCTTTCCTGACCCTACGGGATTAAGAGCTGAGTCAGTTGTGTGCATTTTCACCATCCCATTAATAATCCTTGGAACACATCTTTTAAGTGCTTTTACATGACATACTGTGTGAGCGTTGTCATGCACCATCATCATCATCATCATCATGATCGAGCTCACTTTAAAAACACACAGCAGTGGATGCATTATGTGTACCGCAGGCTGGATTACATGCCATATGCTGGTGAGGTTATGTAAGTGTCTGTTGTTTATTATTATCCATGTAACTTTGAAAATAATGCAGACACGTATATACACTCCCACACAAGAGAAAGATTAGGAAATTGTTGCATTCATGAGGCCACCATCCAGTCGACATGATTTTTTTCTTTTCTTTTTTGAACTGAGAATGCCCAAAAGAGAAGTACATCACTAAATCAGACATCCATGTGAGCCACACCTGATCAGACGCCTGTATAAACCGGTTCAAGACAGAAGGTGAGTTTTCCTTAAAAGATCAGGCTCATTTCTGCTCCATCAGTTGGTAGAATGAGCATAAGACAATGGGGTGATGGAGGGTAAGACTCCTAAAGGAGGATTCCCCTTACACACAGACTGTGACACATTGGCCAGATGGGAGAGTGAGGATTACTGCTCACCACACACACACACACACACACACACACACTAGAAACACTTGGGGGCATAATGTCCTGAGTGTATCCCTGCACCTATAGGGAAGCAAGTCATCAGCAAGCGGGTGAGCTGAGGTGACATTATCCCCTCTGATATACAGTGTCATATATATATATATGTTCAATTTTGACTGAGGTGACCAAGGTAAAGCACAGAGACTCAACCCAGATTAAAAACAAATGATTCAGCACCCAGGACACCATGTAAAGTCAATTAAGAACAGGATAGGTTACGTAAATATCAAATCAATCAATCAATCAATCAATCAAATTTTATTTATATAGCACCTTTCAAAACAAATCAATGTCATTCAAAGTGCTTTACATTTTGATTGAAAAATGTGAGACAGAGAATAAAAAAGTAAAATCAGAAAAAGGACTGGGAAACTAATGCACACTGTGTCATACAATAATAATTTAAAACAATAATAGAAGATAAAAACAAGATCAAAACTACTGTGCTGCTACTAAAAAAAAAAAAATATTTAAATTAACATGCAGGATAAAATATAAAATCAAAGTCAGGAGAATAGCAATAATAAAAAGAGGAAAATACAGATAAGACCACTGAATAAAAACAAAATCAACAATCAGGGGAATAGCAATAAGACAAATACAGATAAAAAGTAATAAATAGAATAATTATAAAACAACAGAACTAACGTAGGACACTACATAAAAGCCAGACTAAAAAAGTGTCAGTGTTTCTGACTCAGATCCTCCGGCAGATTGTTCCACAGTTTTGGAGCATAGTGGCTGAAAG